CTGGGATGGGTAGATTTACTTACCCATGGTGTTCTGCAGGCGTGCGAGTGGAGCCCCATACCAAAGAAAATTTGGTAATCCATCCATCGGAGACACAGCGTTGTATCATGGTTGCAACATTGTTTTGAATGGTTGCGACATTGTTCCAATATTGCAACGCTGTGTTGCGCTAAAAATCGTCGTTGCGAATCGTTCCGTTTACATTGCAACGCTGTGTTGCGCTAAAAACCGTCGTTGTGAATCGTTCCGTGTGTGTTACACGAAACAATTTGCAAGACGATTTTTAATGCAGCACAACATCACAACATTGTTTCGAATGGTTGCAACATTGTTCCAACATTGGAATGCTGTGTTGCGCTAAAAATTGTCCTTGTGAATCATCTCGTATAACATCAACTTTAGCATTACGCGATTTTATTTTTTTAGTTTATAATAATAAATATCTAGTTAACGAGAGCTTTGCTATTAGCCCTGGCTAAATATATATATTACAAATGCAAACAACACTCAATTGGTTGTACAAGCGCATTAATGTTTGTCTTATCTATCCTAAGGTTGTTAATGACTTTGATGTTGGCGTTAATGAAAGTATATTTCTCTCTTTTGTATGCCCAATTACGCATATGAATGCCCAAACGTGTTACTGAATGTTGATTAAAATTCAAAAATCGTAATTGAATCTGATTTATGCGCAAATCGTATTAAATCGTATCTTCGCATTATTGGTCGCCATCTCACCCAATTGATTGCGTATTTTCTCGTAATAAACAGCAAAAGGTGTATTATCTGTTCTAATGGTACACAGTTTCCTCCACAGTATTCTTGTATGCCAGATGACAAAAAGGTCATACGTTATGGAAAATGGAGAAAGTTTAAGGGCATTCATTAAAGGTCAGGATTCATATATTTATGATCCTGTGAAATGACTTGTTATTAAAAGTCGAAGAACAAAAATTTTAATAATGGTAATTTCCATAGCTCCCTGGAAGAGCAGTCCACTTTTGAAAAAAAGATATCTTTCTTGGCGTATGCTGGAAAAAAATCTTATACCGCTCTATGTCATGGAAAAAAAATTTTATCACCAGAAGTTTGGGAAAAAAATTCTAACCCAAACCAAATTCCATCCCCCCTCTTAAAAGTCAAATTGTCGGCCCTTAGCATATACTAAAACAGTGGACAGTGTTTTTCGTGCGCTCTAATTGGAAAATTTAAGTCGGGCTATTCAGTGTTATTCACCTCCGTGTGACGCCAAACCCCCTTAAGCTGCTTTAGTTACATGTACAAGCAAAATGGCTTTCTGATTTAAGATTTGCTAACGTAACAAATGAAGAAACTGCTCCCGATAACACCATGGCGGCAGGACTCTGTTTAGCAGTTTTTACGGGTAAAGCTTTGTCTATTTAACATGAAGCTATTGATGAAACCGCGAAAAAAGTTTTTGTTAACAAATGCAAAATTAAGTCTTGCGTTACTTTATTTAGCTGACATGGTCATACACTGTAAACTAGCTTTAAACTGAATTAAATGGTTGTTTTATAGAATGGTTTCAAATACAGCAAGAGTTCAAAATTCTTCCTTTTGAAGAAATGTCCCCTCAAGAGCTAAACTTCGAAAGTTTTATTTTTCGATAGGAAAACGTGACGCCCATTCGGTCATTTTGGCACCAAATATGTAATTGTTGATAGCAAGAGAGAATGAGCTAAGAGAGCGAATCCCTCTGCCCCATGAATTTTTTTTAACTCTATTTAAAGTTCGCGCGCGTGCTGCGTAGGTTATTTTTGTCTGTTGTTTCCGTGACCCGCGTGGTCTACTTTCACGTGAAGGTGATATGTTTCGCCGTTAAACATTTGAAGTTTAACAGCCATCATAGTAATTAGCGCCAGGAGCCGATACTAATCGGCTCCTGCTGTTTACGTGTTTGTGATCATCGCGTTCCGCTCATAATTTAGGAATGAATTTTATTTCCAAAGGGATTGCAATATTGGCGTCAAAATTTCACTTCGAGATTAAAGATTGAGATTTTCTAACGACTGGTAGCCATTTAAAGTAACGAATGTTGAATTCTGACACACCATGAAAGCCAAAGGAAAAGGTTATCACGCGCGAAACACGAAACCTTTAACAGGTGGCTGGCTTCAATTCTTTATGCAAATGTGCAAGATATTTTCCTCTTTTTCCAGGAATGTTTTTCTTTCAGAAACAGTACATTTACTTTTAAGAATTATTCTTGAGAGTTTCACACTTCATTACTTCTTCTCAACTCCTAATACTTGCGATGAATATTTCGCCCTGCGAACACAAATCAGGTCAGATGCTTCAAGCTGTTAGACAATCGCTAACCTGGATGCCAGAGACTTTTTATGCGCGGTTTTCGGTTTCGGTCAATTCTTTATACTGAGCGGTGTGCCCACATTTGTCTAGCGCCCTCTCAAAATTCAAATGTTTGGCCGCCAAACATTCATGTTTAAACCCACTTTGAACTTATTCTCTCGTTACGTGTCCACGGTTGGATCTAAACGACGGTATCACAGCTCGCGGGTGTGCGTGGATGTCGCCGGAAGAGACCGTTGTCGTTTTTGTACAATGTTTTTATGCTGATGAAGCGAAAACCTCAATTACCAATTTCCGTCGAGTCGGATCCGCTTTCTCCCGCGAACTTCCACAAGCCAGAACTTCGGCAGCTTTTCTGGCCAGATTTTTTCACGTAGAAATCTTTTGACTCGTCGGCGAAAGTAATACCAAGTTTGCACGTCATATCGCTTGCTGTGCGTGATCGGCAGTGAAATGAATTACCCGCCAAGTTTAAAATTACATGACCCAACTCAAACTGACCAATAAGGTGGCGTACTTAAAATAACCACGCAGTATGACACAGAACCAAGAATAGATTGAAAATAATTTTCATGGAAATAGGGTCATGTAAGGGGGATTCGCTCTCTTAGATCATTTTCTCTTGTTGATAGCAATAAATGAGTTAAGAATCAACACTTTTGTGCTCAATTATCTCACTGTTTTATTATAGTGAAACAATATTCCCTTCAGTGAATTACTGAATCTTATCCTCGCATTACTGAATCTTATCCTCGCCGCCTCACGGCTTGGTAAATACCACGTCAAGTGATCAACTTTCTGTAAACACTGAGACAGTTCTCCTTTGGAAAGTTTTGTTACAAGGAACTGAGAGAGCAAATTAAAATTAGGTTAATTACCTGTAAATTTTCAGCCATATATCTCAAAAGTAGTGATTGCAACAGCTGCTGAAAATTAGAAGGATTTGTATGGGAAAACTCATAACATCATACTCATAAACATCATACTCAGCCTCATCCAGTCATAGGTAATTGGTAATTTTTGTCATTACGTCCTGGTGTATCACTCTTTCCAGTATTAATTACCAGTTCCATCGTCCCTATATTTGTCATGCATTTTCCTCCCCCATTGACCCAGCAGTCGATTATTGTGCTCATGTGTTCCAAAATCAAGTGTCTGTGCTCCCAATGCAAACTACACGAAAGTAAATGTAGCATTTTTTTTTTGTTGCGTACTATCATGTTCCCATAAGTTTGGCAAGTAGTCCCTATATTAGTAGTTGATGTCATATCATGTCCCCGTAAGTTTAGCAAGAAATGCCTCTTAAAAACAACAACTTTTATTATTAGTTGTAAACTACATTGATTTACATGATATGCCATGATGTGGGAGAGGCATAAAAAAATACATTACAAACTAGTAGCATGGTTTGTAAATGATGCTATCGCTGACTTTCCATAGCCTCTTTAACATCTGCTGTCACCCAAGTGTAGAGAAGGTGTTCTATTATCTTGTCCACGGTATATTTTATAGAATTAAGACCATCAGTTTGCATCCTTGCTTCAGAGTCCCGCAGCTTGTCCATCCTATAAAAAACAAACATCGCTGAAAGGCGAATTTAACTGGAAGGGAGGGGGTGGCTGTTCTCACTCAGGCTACCATAAAACCTTGTCGCCGACCACTGCGTGACATAGAATCTCCTGTGAACCTTTTGGAAGACTTTCGTAACAAGAAAAAATGAGTACCATTTTTAAGTAAGGGCTGTATAGTAACTTTTAAATTCCACCATTATGAATAAAAATAAGCAAGTTAGCCATTCTAAGAAGGAAACGGCTAGCATAATTTTGACGCACAGCTCCCCCAATATATCCCTCTGCTCCCACATATATAGGGTGACAGTATAACGTCACTAATTTGAGCTAACCTGAAATTCCAAAAATTATTGTCGTTCTACAGTTCTTAAACGCGACAGGGTCAGCTATACTGTTAACAAGCAGAACATTTCTCAATTCTGGTCCTTGAAACTGACAAAGCAAATTGAATTTAAGTTTTGTTTTTGTCTGATATTACATATAAAGTCTTTCCAACTGTTATTCAGCAGCCCAGTTAAAAATTAAGGCTGAATACTTATGGAAGGAAGTATTTAGACAGGCCACTATTGGTCAGAACTGCTTTATGAGATTTATAAACTGACAATGCAACTATTTAGTAGAAAATACAAATGAACTAAGGACGAAGAGCAACCCTGAACCTCAACTCCCTCTTCTGCGCAATGTTGATATTGATATGACAAACTACAAATGACTTACAATATGGCAAACTTATAACAGTACTGAGCTTCACAACTTAAAATTGTTTTGAACCCAAATATAGAATGCAATAACTTTGTAACAACTCTGGCAGTGCTCCCATACTCTCTACTTCTGGCAAAACCGTGCATGCATATCCACTTGCAGTCCGGATTCTCCAGGTTTCAGGTATCCCCACGACTGCTGGCTGGATTTGCTCTCTGTAGTCGCAAGTTCAAATCCTAGGCCACACTAATCTTGTAAAATAGCTAAAAGGTACGCTTTCTACATTCTCAGCCTTATTAGGGTCCGTTTGAATTATCTTGATTCATTATCCCTGAAAAAGCCCCTTAAGTGGAAGGAAGTGGGATCTTTAGCATCTTTATTTCATTATCTTATAGCTCACCTATTCTTATCAGGAGAAGCAGATATATGATAATTCCGTACCATTTTGTACCTTCCTAATTCCATGGATGGTCGAGTTAGCTTCAGCCCCTTAGCAGCTATTCTAAAAATAATAAATATTCCAATAACTGGGCATAAGAAGAGACAGTTCTAGAGAAACACTGGAAAAATTGATCAATTAACTTACACATGTAAAATCCTATTCTAATATGTAATTATCAGGTACGTAAATCAACTACAGATCACTGTAAATGGCCTTTTACAGGATGTTAAAAGTTACTGTAAAAATACTGTAAATACCGTTACTGCAAATATTAGGAGCAGAACATGTAAAAATGGAGACAATCCTGTAAAATTTAAAGGTCCTAAAGGCAAGAGCATGTAAATATACCGTAGATATTTTTCTGCAAATAATATGTAAATCAAACAGGATAGTTTACTACGACCTGGTAAATATCATGTAAAATCCCTGTAAATAGTAAAGAGAAGGAATCATTTCACACTGTAAAAACACTGAAAATCGAAAAATGGAGACTGATTTCACCCCGTAAAAACAGGACACTGAAAATCGAAAAATTGACAGAGATTTGTGGTGATATTTGGCATAAATACCAGGGCCGAGTTGTTCAAAGCTGGGTTCAGATAACCCAGGGTTAGCGCGAGATTTGAATTCAGATTTGAAAGCTTAAAAAGTATTTCCGTTTTAATTCTTTTTGTCTACAAGTTGATGATTGGAAGCTCTAAAAATAACGGAGAAAATTATCCGAGAAAATGCTTTTTAACACATGAAAGAAAAACCCGGGTTAAATTTAACCCCGGATTGAGCGCTAATCGGCCTTCGAACAACTGGGCCCAGAGTGATATTTCAGAATTGTTATACGTAATTTGAGACAATTTTGAAATATCACGAGTGGTATTTATGCCAAATATCACGTACAAATCATGCTATTATTTGTCTATATTACTACCTGCAAAAGGTTTGTAATTTTCACATGTAGGTATTTCAAATTTAGCTGAAATACCACTGCTCTAAGCCAATCAAATTGCAGAAATTCCTCATGTAGTAGTATAAGACCCTGTAATAACACTGTAAATCGAAAAAGGGAGACTGGTTTGACCCTGTAAAAACATTGTAAATCGAAAAGAGAGACTGATTTGACCATGTAATAACACTGTAAATCTAAAAAGGGAGACTGATTTGACCCTGTAAAAACCATGCAAATCGAAAAAGGGAGGCCGATTTGACCACGTGAAAACCTTGTAAATTGAAAAAGTGGGACTTATTTGACCCTGTAAAAGCCTTGTTGATGGAAATTGACCCCGTAAATCTCGCCGTAATAAGTGAGCTATTAACTCATTTATTTGGCTTTTAAATGCAGATTATTTTCACTGCCAATATAAAAAATACATCCACATCTAAGGTTTGCATGTAGAGTAGACATAAATGTTAACTATTCCAATATGTATATCAAGGGTTTTCAAACAGAATCTGCCCAGAGAACACAGGAGATCCTCTTTTGTTGATGTCCTTGAAAACGAAACACACAATTCTTTACATGCAGTTTTAAGGTTCTGTATGTTTGCTGATGCTATTGCCTTTGCTTTAGAACGACACAGGGCAACTATGACTGCTTGATCCCTTGGTACCTGAAAAAAAATGTAATTACCCATTAGGACAAACCTACAAAGTTGGTAAAATACTCTGCAAAATTTTTTATACCTCACTATGAAAATGTTGATATGATTCTTGCAAAAAAAAAAAAACAGAAAAAAACGTTTACCCCTTTGCCTGAGCTAAAAATGCTCACACATGCTCCAGTTGTTTAAAACAGCAATAGTGCATGCTCAGATTGTCTGTCCTTGACTGAGTTGACCCAGCTGGGTGAGCCAAAGTGTTTATATGGGGAAAAGAATGGAGAGAAGTTGGTCCAGCTAGGAGAGTAACCTGACAAGGCTGGTCACCCCTCTTGCAGAGGCAGCTTTTGTTTTGCATGAAAACTGTTCGCCACATTTAGTACATAATCAATTTGTGAAAACCGGCTTTCTTCTGCTACAATGTAGCTCTGGTAGACAAATGAACATTCTACTAAGGACAAATTTTCTCCAGGTAAATGGGGGCTCAGTGGTTGAACTAGCCTTGCTTAAAGGAAACAACAAATACTATACTTTTCACTTTGGAGAGATGGACTGAACAATACAATCATTATTCATGTTAAGATTAAAATTAATTGGCAAACTTCACCACCAAGTCTCATTTTGGTATACTAACGAAGTCCCAAGCAGGACAGGAAATAACCCAGGTCTGATTGCCGCGGGCAAAGTCAAAATAGATGGTTTTTCTGTCTGAAAGTGTGTCACCTTGGTGTGATAATTTCCAGGCAGAAACTATTTTAAAACCGAAGATTGCAAGATGAGTAAGAGTAACACAATTAGTTGATAGCATAAATCAATTAAAACCAACGGCATGTTAAATTGCTCGTGTTACTCGTCCGGTCACATTGGTCAAATCCAGTAGATGCTCTGTATCCGACGCAGATTAATTTTAAGTACTAGTAATCTTACAAAATTTGTTATAATCTATTACTTACACCCATATGCTAAACAGTACCTTAGAACTTTTGATGATAAGTCATTGTGTTCCCTCAGGGCAAGTAACATTTAAGTGGGGACAAGTGAGAACTGAAATTTCTGGGCAAGTAGATTTCAATTTTTTTCCCCGCCCTGCCAAGGCTTAACAGTTGAAAGAATACCCTTGCACTAAGAGTGCATGAGTCGTTTAGTCAGTTGACGTAATCATGCATTAGGGCTATTTATAGGCACACTAGCTGTCAATATTTTGGACCAGGAAGGTTTCACAGTTCTCAATATCATGGGTCATGTGGCAGCTGCTTGGAAGAGAAGTCACCGATGGTGCATTTACCTGACCCCAAACAATACTAAAACAATCGGAAGAATGACATGCCATTGCTTCCTGCGACCAATTAGGAGAGACAGTACGAGCAGCTCCTACACTAACAAATATCTTTAAAAACGTTTACATTCATAAATGTACTGTGTATAAGAGCTGTAATCAGTTCGCTGTATTATTATAACACAGTAAGTATCCTGACGTGTGTATGTTAAACAGGTACCATAAAACCTGTTTTCAGCAGATAAACAGGCATCTTCACCTTAACGCAAACAGGCTGTCTCAAAATTGCCTTCCTGATTGTTAGAGTAACTTGAGTACAGCTATTTCGAGAAAGGTTGTTGGAAAAAGTACATGTGGCAATCCCGAAAGGTATTGTGGGTGATTTTTAGCTCACTGTTCTTCAAAGATATTTGCAAGAATGGCACTAGAGTCCATGGACTTATGTTTGCAATTGTTAAAGGAAAGCAACAAAAAATAAGTACAGTGTCAGGAACAGTGTATTGATCATATCCCACATTACCTTTCGGGATTGTCGCATACACATTTTTTTTGACAACCTTTCTGGAAATAGCTGTATACAGATCCCTTATACAGTGAAAGTGGTCGCAGCTTTTTGGTAAAACCTTTACGATAAACAATATTTTTGCAATGTGTCGTCCCTAGAAATTTTCATTGTTAATTTTGCCTGAAACTACAACTTTAACGCGTAATCAATGCAAAGGGGCAACAATTTTTTACACCAGGTTTGAACCAATGTTGTTTCCACGCAGATAAATGGACAGCACATTTGAATAATTGCACAATAAAACTAGTTAAAGAAATACAAAACCAAAAACACATTACCTCAAACATTTCAGCATTCTTGTATGGTATATAATAATTATGCTGTGGTTCAATTTTATCCTTGGTTTAAATCTTCTTTTTCATTGGTTCAAACTCATTATCATTCATACATGTACATGTAACCCTCAGGGATGTCATTAAGAGCCTACCGTCAGTTAATATCACAGACTGAAAGAGAGCTTACCACTGGGTCAAATTGCAAAGGAAAACAAATGCACGGGGAAATTTTACAGATGCAGTTGAGTAAAAAAGCTGGCTTAACTAATAGAAAAAGCCTGCTCATCTTTTCCTTTATACAGTAGTTACATGTACACTGTACATCCCTGCATTAAACCCTACCCACACACAAAGGAAAATAAAATTTAAACCAAGGTTTAAATTAAACCACAACATATATATTATATTAGCTGCATGTGTACATTTACCTTGTGTTTGTCAACTGGAACTAGAATAAGGTCCTCAAATGCCTTTACTACCCACAACAACTCAGCTGTGCAATTCCACCTATCAAAATGAAAATTTTACTCAGATATGCTGTTTGGATATATTAGTATAACTCAAGTCTCTTGTATAACATAGTCTCTTGTATAACTTGATTAATGTAAATGTTACAGGTGAGAATTAAATTCAGGTAAAAATTTTTTAACCAAGGTTGATTCTCAATTTCTTTGGTCTCCTAGCCCTAACTATTCATGAGCTAGGGTTAAGTGAAAGAAGCTTAAGATGCCTTTAAAGAGTGATTTCGAGGGATAGAGGCCAATTTTTCCTCTGAACAAATAATGCAACAGTCAGGATTACGGCTCCAAGGCGTATCACTGAAAACATTGTCCCGCTTTCAAAATTTCTAAGGATCCTATCTAAAGATTAGCACAATAGCGTATAAAGGGCATCCAGAGGTAGTCTTTGGTCAAACACAAAACGTTTCTGAACGATCTTTCAAGATACAGATAAAAAATCAGCATCTCTGTATACATTGTTTACATCATATGTACATTGTAAATCAGGGGCGGATCTAGGGGGAGGGTGCAGGGGGTGCGCACCTCCCCCCCTTCCGAAGTGACCTGCGGTTTTCTGATACAACTGGTATTGTGCAAAAAAAACTATGTGGTTTATTGGTGTTGAAGTAGAGCAAGAGACGAGTGCACCGCCTCCTAAAAAAAATCCTAGATCCGCCCGTGTAAATCATCCTTTTCACCAAATAGTGAACTTCATTGTCATTCTTAACATTAAATATACACCTTCAGAAATAGCGATAAAAGAAACTGCTGTGCTATAAATGCTTATTTAGGAAATATGGTAATCTCATGGTTACCAAAAACTGAAAAATTCAATATGTAAACAAATAGAGAAATAGATCCTTTATCTCCAACCCAAACCCTAAAACTCCAACCTTTGCAGGCAAAAAATTTATTTCGGAAATGTTGAAGCTTCTACATGAATCAGCGAGTGATCAACCAGTTTGCGAATATTATCAGGAGTAACAGCATTGCTGCTAGTTCTTCCCCTCAAATGTGGCCATTGGTTCCAAAAAATGGGAAAGAAAAAAGCAAATTCATACCAGCCAGGTGAATCTTTAAACTGTGATAAGGTGATAAAATGGTTCTGGACTGGTAATCAAGATATTCTACAAGATGCTTCCCAGGACTCACCACAGCAATTCATAACAAAATAACTATATGACCCTGACTGTGTATTATGTAGTTGCTCTGACTACTGAACCAATTGAATGGTATCAGAAAATATTATATTGTGTTGTTGTAACAATTAAGAGTTCAAAGTCAGTCAGAATCCCATACAAGTAAGCTTAATTTTTTATAGCGGCCAATTGCAAGATGGAAACACAAACCACAAAAAGGTCCATAATTTCATTTTCGTTATTCTTTCTGCAAAGCCAGCAGATTGATTTTAAAACTGGCATTCAATTGTTCGAAAAAATCCATCACCACTGTATGTGATCTTTGTATGGAAGCTTATAGGTGCCATCTGACATCCAACATCCGACATCCGAGATCCAGCATCGGACATCCGAGATTCGACATCCGACATCCGACATCCCAGATTTGATATCCGACATCTGACATCCGAGATTCGACATCTGACATCCGAGATTCGACATCCGACATTTGAAAGGATGGCCGTGATGTGTAGTGCCTGGGATCAAGGAACCTACGAAGTGAGGTTTGAAAGGAAACAATGCGGACTATTCTGGTTTTGTTTAATACTTTTATCATTTTGCATTGTTGCGAATGCGTATTACCCCGGTATGCTCTTTCATTAGGAAACGTGCAGCGAAGCCGTATCCTTTTCAGGTCTGTACGATGGATTTAAACCATTTGCTCTTGCACATTTATTTTTGTGCTTGTGAGTAATATGATAATTTCAAGACATAGCAGGCTTTAATCCGTTAAGTTTGGAATGTTTTAGGGCCTGTTCAAATGGAGGTGGGGGACCCCAGGTAGGTGAGGTAACCCGCTTAGGTGGGATAAAAAAATAACTCCCCTTTACATGCAATCTTACAACCCCGCCATCCCAGGTTGCACTTTCTCGAGATTATTGAATGGTCCCTAAGCACGTAAACAAGAAAAATGCTGGCAAACCACGTGTTTTGGCGATTAACGCTCTTCTACACTCACTTGCTGCTGTTGCTGCAACCTTCAGTGCTGTGGCTCTCTATTATTACCTTAAATCATGATGCAAAAAGCCACCGCCAAAGTGAAGTTTTGCACGAATTTGATGTATCACGAATCCGACCGCGGGTAGGCGGGTTACCCCACCTTGAAACGTTTACACGGCAAAATTTGACCCCGGCTGAGAGGGTTACCTGGTCTGGCAGACCGGGCAACAGGCCTTGGCGGGTCACCCCACCTATCATGTAAACGTGAACAAACTAAAATAAGAGATTATATGGACAGGCGGGTTACCCCACCTTAGCGGGTTACCCCACGTACCTGGGGTCCCCCACCTCCATGTAAACAGGGCCTAAAACATTCCAAACTTAACGGATTAAAGCCTGCTATGTCTTGAAATTATCATATTACTTACAAGCACAAAATTAAATGTGCAAGAGCAAATGGTTTAAATTCATCGTACAGACCTGAAAAGGATACGACTTCGCTGCACGTTTCCTAATGAAAGAGCATACCGGGGTAATACGCATTCGCAACAATGCAAAATGATAAAAATATTAAACAAAACCAGAATAGTCCGCATTGTTTCCTTTCAAACCTCACTTCGTAGGTTCCTTGATACCAGGCACTACACATCACGGCCATCCTTTCAAATGTCGGATGTCGAATCTCGGATGTCGGATGTCAGATGTCGGATGTCAAATCTGGGATGTCGGATCTCGGATGTGGGATGTCGGATGTCGGATGTCGGATGTCGGATGTCGGATGTCGGATGTCGGATGGCACCTATAAGCTTCCGTACCTTTGAGAATCTTTAACTTAATAGTGATTTATGGTTCATAAACTTTGGAGGGCAGAGGATCTGTAATCAGTTAGATCACACCCCGTCCATGGTCATGCAATCAATACTGTATTAAATAACACAATATCTTACCTCAACAGGAGCTGGTGACTTAGCCGGCGTCAAATTATCTATTTTTTTCACCAGAACTGAGGAGAATGCAGCTTGACTACAGCAAAAATGAAGTAAATAAGTTTCATAATGGAAAATCTAAAGCAAGCGTCTTGAGAAATTTATGCGCGATAGCGGCACCCAAAATTTGTTAGTAAAATCCTTTGCTGTGTAGCTTTAAAAAACAATTCATATATTTTTCAGAACAGCCGTTTTACCGAAATTATTCGACATTAGATTCTCATACAAACACTTTAATTTCTCTTTGCCTACTCGTCAAGATGGCGTCGAAAACAGTGACAAGGTCTATTGTTTCGGTTTAAATGAACGCGGTCGAATTCACAGAAAGATATTTAAGGGTGAAATCACATAGACTTTCCGCGTCTCCTTCGTGAAATGCAAAACAGTAATTCTCCGAAAAACGAACGTTGGAAAAATTTCCCTGAAGAAATGCAATCTATTTTTCCTTTACTTCGTCCGTAGAGGAATTCATAATTGTCGCTTGAAAGATCTTGAAAACCTTGATCTCACTTCTCTGATTTTCCCGCCAGATTGCGAAATCGACCGGAAGTGTCCCGACAGGAAGATCGATCATTTAACCGGAACTCTCTCTTCATTTTGCCAAACTACCGCTGACTTGTTAATCGAATACCGAAAACTCACCCTCCTTGTACGCCCGTGGAAAAGTTATCGAGCCATCGAGCGCGGTCACTCAGTTTTCCTTAGACTGCACAGCAGCAGCGGTCAGCTATGGCACAGGCACACCAAGTACAATTTTCCCTGGTTTCCATATAAACTTTAGGGTTAAACCAGTCTCCCTTTCTTTCCAATTACAATGTTTTTACAGGGTCAAATCAGTCTCCCTTTATTGATTTACAATGTTTTTACAGGGTCAAATCAGTAGTAGGGCTTCAGCAAAGATAAGCCCAGTTGGTGCGTTCCCTTTGCGTTCCGTGTGCGTTCCCTTTTATTAATATGAATAAGGATCGAGTCTATGACGTCACCCATTGTTTTAACCTAGGGAAAAAATGCGCTCCTCCATACTAATTAAGTGCCTTCCTTATACTAATTCGGTATAGGTTTACTAATGAGCGTCCCTCTACGTCAACAGAAACAACAGGCTTGCCTAGGCTTGCTCGGTAAGTAACTTTAACTTTTACCGGCTATTTACAAAGAAGATACTGTAAATATGTGTAAAACATTTTACACGTTTTTACATGGTCTCCTATCCATTACTGCCGAAGGACGCTGGCTGTAAGTGTTTTTTTTATGGTAAATTTACATGGTGAGGTAAAACTGGAAATTGAAGAGAATTTTATTTTACAAACCCTATCATGTAAATTGGAATTTACAAAACACGTTAATTGTATTTTACAGGATGTAATTTTTACATGTGCTGTAAATTTTCAACTTTTCCAGTGAAAGAGATGCCTTAGAGGGCTGTGAGTAAGTTTCTACTCATATCACAACAATAACAGCTGCCACATTTACATTGTATTTATCAGTAAGATAATGGCCATGGTTCTAAGGGTTCTTCTTTGAAACTATACAACATACGAAAGGTAAATGTGCAGAACAACTAAAAAGTGATTACACCTCTTAACATTCAGAAAAATAGAAAGGAAAAATATAACCGCTACTTTACAAAAGAGAGCTAAATTACTGTGTTCACAGCGAAAGGCTTTTTGTGCCATTTTCACTCTTGTCATTTCCAACACAAGGAGGTTGGTTTTTAATTGTTGGATACATCGACGACATGGATTACCAAATCTCCAGCCCACCTGGACAACACGCAAAGATTATTGAAGAGATCTATAACAAGCACCCATTCGCCAATTGGTCTGCTAATGTACGGGTCTTCATAGCTCCAATGGTAGAGCACTGCAGCGCTAATGCAGAGGCCATGGGTTCGAGTCCCTTTTTTTTTTCGGGTTTATTTGCCATTGCTTAACTTGCAATTACCACAGCGACGATGATGTCTTCATTTAAAAATTTGTATTTCCGCAGTTCACATCATCTTCATTGCTTCATTATTCCTTTCACGGGTTAAGATGAACTCAACAAATTGGCCTGCCCCTAACCCGTGGGCCTTCATAGCTCAAATGGTAATGCACTTCAGAACTAACGCAGAGGCTATGGGTTCAAATCCCGTTGAAGTCCTGAAATTTTGATTCGGGTTTATTTGCAATTGCTTAAATTGCAATTAACACTGCGACGATCATATCTTCATTTAAAAAGTTTGTATTTCTGCGGTTCACATTATCTTCATGTTACAAAATAAATCATGCAGTCACTGAGAAATATAAGCAAGGCTACAACGAAATTAACAGTACAGTGATTGCGCACTATGTACCTTTTGTAGAGGTCATCATCTTCTCCACCCCATCCCCAAAACTTGTTGGAAAATCCATTGATAAGTTCAAAGTGTTGCTTTGTAAAGGAGCCTGCTCCGCCAAAGATTGTGCGATATGGTAAACTACATGGAAATTATTGAATTAAAAACAATTGTGGGTGAGCAGAATAAGAAATTAAGGATAGGAGTACAGCATGAGTTCATAGACGCAATGTAGATATCTTTTGTTCATGAACAGTAAGGGTTGAACTCTAACACATAACTGACCATCCAAACATGACTTAGATGACAGAGAATTTCATATTCTAAGTGTAAATCCAAAATTGTCTCTGGAGTTGTAATGGTGGATATCTCTGATCACCTCCCAGTTGTCTATGTTGTCTGTGTTACAAATATACCAGTTAAGAAACACAACCCTATTTAACAATTATTCCACGAGGGCGCGTTGGATATGAGATGATAGATAGCCAACGAGGCGCATAGCGCCGAGTTGGCTATAATCATCTCATATCCAACAAGCGCGAGTGCAATAATTGTTTTATTAAAAACGCCCACAAAATCTCGTGGAATTTCCCCGACTAGAACAAACCGGAAAAGACAAGGGACTTCCGCTATTCACATGTCACACGTCTATCAAAACTGTCAACGCGCGAACGGACTCAACTGGACTGCATAAATGAAAAATCAAAATATTGTAGCGATGAACATTAGTTTTTTTTAAAAAATGATCGGGATTCTAGGATTTTACACAGCAGAACAGCTTAAAAAACCTGGCGGATAATGTGAAGGAAAAGAGTTTTTAAGTGACAGCCGTCGAAAGTACTGTAAATTTGAATTTTCGGTGCAGTTGTAAAAGTAAGAAGTTTTTAATAATAAGTATTATAGAGATTACAGCAGTTTTAATCAAGAATCTCAGCTACGGGATATCAATGCAGTCAACTGGAATGCTATCTAATAGTAATGATATTGATGAGACAACTACTAAAATAATTGACCTGATTAAATCAATTGCAGATAAACATGCACCAATTAGGAAGTTGTCCCAAAAGAAACAGGAATTGTATACTAAGCCGTGGAGTAACCAATGCATTCTTAAATAAATCAAACCTAAGCATAAATTATACAAAACACATTTTGTTTCTAACAATCCAATTAAGGTGATGGAATATAAAAAGTATGCTAATAAACTGAATTAGCTTAAGAATATTTGCAAAAAGAATTACTTCTCAAAACACTTTGACCTATTCAAAAACAATCCGAAGGCCTCTTGGAAATTAAAAGGTATGCTAGTTAAGAGCAAATGTTACCAAAAATCAAACATTTTCAAAATTTCGTGGCAACAGCTCAAAAATCAATTTGGCCCATAATCTCATGTTAGGTAGACCTTAACATAAGACAAAACACTGAATAGTTCATTTCACTAAATATCGATTAGTTTTCGAGAAAACCGATAATCACTGAATTTCGTGAAAACGCCGCCTTTTCGATGTGCAATTTAGGGCGAGTTACGACGGGTCGCGTTACATTGTAAAACACTCTGGAGCAATAAAATCTACCACATATTGTTGACCGATGTCAAAAATACCGTTAAAGCAATTTTTATCAATTCTTGGCCATTTACTTTCAAGATCTAATTTAATTTGCCCGACCTATTTTTATCGAGAAGAAAACTTATCTAAAATTAGCCTTTTATTTAAGCTTGTGGTACTGCGTATAATTCGTTGAAAACGTAGTGTTTAAAAGTCAAAGAGTTGTTCTTTAAGAGTCCCAAAGGATTTTTTTGGGAGATGATTCAGAGGGATGAAATCGATTTTTAAATTTGGGATAAATTTCGATGTTTCAACTCGTCGTACGCGTGACATGACTCTGCAAGGCACATTACAACTCGACACAAGCACCTAAAAAGTTAATCAGAATACATTAAGTCGAGGTCTATTTAACGCATAGTATCTAACCTTTTTGTCTTCAAATCAATGATGAAGAAAACTGTATTTCTGCAGGCCGGTGTCGTTTGGTAAGTGAACCAGTCGCTCAAAATCATTTCCCACGACATGATAGCCGAACGGTGGCATTGTTTGTTTTCCATGCTTTGGACGTTGGTTTTAGTTGTATGTAATTACTGCCTCCAGTTTCCTCTAAAATGGTCTTAGAGTGCCTTTCGTAAGTCTTCTTTGCCGAAACATCAGTTTTGAACTGAGCAGCAAACCAAAGCGGAACCAAGAGACCTCAAGTCAAAAACATATGTTATCACGTGGGTGTTGTGAAATACTGCTTCATTCAAGTGAAACCTACAACTACAGAAAAGCGGGATTGGAACATGGAACAAGTGTCTAGTGGATCTTAGCGATTTTTTTATTAAATATCAGAGTAAAAAAAGAAGGAAAGAAAAACAGAAACCTGTTTAAAAAATGAATAAAGGCAAAAGTGTGACAAATATGATGGCTATAGAAAAATAATTGCCTGAGGAAACCAAAAAAAATTTGCGGCGTTGTCCTCCGGAAAAACCTCGTGAAATCGGTTAAAAACGTCGTCGCTATCACTTTTTTTTCAAATAAATTTAATTAAAAATGTCGGTACTAATTTAAAAACAGGTGTCAGTGTTTGTTTGTTTTGAGCGAACCGAGAGAATTTGTTTGCAGTCTAAAAGTGGAAATCTTCACTTTGTCAACAGCTTTAGTGAAACGTTTGTAAACACAGAGAGTTGCAACGCGTGTTATTCGCGTGTTACTCGCCATTATTGATGACGTCTTTCGTCAACTTAAGGAAATCATGCCAGAAGTCAACTCTGTTTATATAAGGAGCGATAATGCAGGATGCTATCATTGCGCGTTTTCATTACTTTCAGTCTACCATGTTGCCCACGAGCATGCAATTGAACGAGAGCGTTTTGACTTTTTCGACCCCCAAGGCGGAAAAGGATGTTGTGATCGTAAGGCCGCGACAATTAAAAGTCACATGCGCACTCATCTCAATTCAGGCCACGACACAGAGACAGCCTCACAAATGATGACGGTCATTGAGTCATCTGGCGGAATTTCTGGTGTCCGGGTGACGGTGAGCGGGCCACAACATGCTGCAAAGTCCACTCTAGTAAAATGGGAGGGAGTTAGTTTCATTAACAACATTGCATACACCAAGGAAGGTTTGCATGTTTGGAGAGCTTATGGAATTGGCTCTGGCAAATTTGTACCCTGGAGCAACTTCAAGTTGGGAGTCTTCCTCCGCTAAGAAACAGAAACAGAGTTCTAGTGCTGAAGTATCTTTCCAAACTGCCAAAGCCAGGAGCAAACCAAAGCAAAAACCGGTTTTAGAAGAGGTTCCACAGAACAGAAATAACAGCGACGACGATGAGAGCTGTAACGACGAAGGAAGCGATCTGTTTTTCTATCCACAAGAGGGATGTGTCAAGTCCTTTGTACAATACTCATCGCTACAAAAACATCTGGACTGTGGTTAACACAAGTATGCCCTGGAACAGGAAACACTGTACGACAAGGCAATTACCATGTACGCCACCAAACTGGAGCGTGGTCCTGGTGTCCTACCAGAAATAGTTGATGATGGTGCATCTATGTCAGGGGAGGGTGATGGCTCCGTGCTACCGATGGGATGGCCTTTTAAGCCAGCAGGAGTACAAAGAAAGAATCTTACGGTGGCGCAGCAAAACTATCTGACTGCAGTCTTTCAAGCTGGAGAACGCACTGGGCAAAAAGCAGATCCAACGAGCGTCTCAAAGGCAATGCAAAGAGTAAAGCATAGTGATGATATGGCTCTAATATCTTTGACAAGTGGGATCTCACACCACTACAAATAGCAGGATTTTTTTCTCGCTTGTCAGCAAAGAAAACGTATAGTGTGGAGCAATCCAGTGAGGAGGAAGAACCTGAAAGGAATAAGCTGATAGCAGAGAAGGCAATCGAAGAAATGTCCAACAAAGTAACGAAAGCATTAACTCTTCAACATCCTATCATGTACGAAACATTCAACATCTGTGAGATCGTAGGTCAGTCTAAGCTGGCGAAGTTTTCGATACGAACACTGCAGAACATCTGTGCAGCTTTAGAACTGGATGTAGCATCGATGACTGGCAAGTGCAAACAGCCGTATATGGAAATTATTGAAGGCGTTCTGGCCAGGTGTGGCTGTAAACCTAGTAAGGCTGACCAGAATATGTAGAGATTAACCTACGAAATAATCAGTGATGTCGAGAATGTCTTATTTGGGGTAAACTGAAATTGACGGCTCTACGCTACGTGTGTCGTCTATAGAACTTTTTAGAGACACTCTTTTAAGAGTGACGACTGACGAGGGTTGTAAAGTGTCTCGCAAACTTATCCTCGTAACTTTTACGATAGAGGCCAGGGAAAAGCCAACAAAAGGAAAAGTGTTATACGAAAAGTAACAAGTTGTTATAAATGAGTTAAGTCTGTGGAGAGAAAAGGAATCACAGCCACACCCACAAACGGAGAATCTTGTACATCTTCAAGTAGATTTAAGGGGGGATGGTCTAATGTAAAGTTTTTTTCAAGCTACCTCGTGACTAACAATTTAAGGCCAATCATAAGGAATCTTCCAACTTCTTTTTTAAAATTATTTTTAACTGCATCACGTGATCAACCACGCCCCATTTTATCGAGAAATTCTTCGAGTTGAACCGCCCACTAGACAGAGAGCAAACCGTTTTCCTTTTGTAGGTCTACAGTTTCTAATAATACTCTTCTTGTAAAAACAATTAGAGGAATGGAAAGAAGTCATATGCGTCTCGTACTGTCGAAAACTTTAGTTAGAGGAGGACTTGCACTAGTCAATGAACACCAGTTTCACCTGCAAATTGTAATGATTCGGGAACCATTCCGAGCTGATTTCCCATAGACTTTGTAGGGTCAATGCTTTGATATAGAAAGCTGGAGCTACACGTTTAGAAAGTGGTGGGAACGGTTAGCTACAATTTTCGAACACTGGAGGTTGGGGGGAGTCAATCATGTGACCAAGTAATTTGGATTTCTTTTTAAATTGTTTTTTGAAGCTTACTTTACTTGACCATCTATCATTCCTCGTGGATGTCTATAACAATAGTGTTTGGAAAATTTGTATAGTCTAAGTTAAAATTAGTTTCTCGAGGAACTCATTATCCGTTACCGGTCGTGTCCGGGTGATCCCGTTTAACTCACTGAGACAATAATGTTCTTGCCCTTTTAATAGCTGGAGACCATTACCGAGCTGAATTATTACAAAAAAAAAAAAAAAAAAACTAGGTGATGGTGAAAGCCAAGAGTTAGTTTTTCCGAACTTGAGATGTGGAAGCGTCTTTCTTGAACAAGGCAATGAATTCGTCATGGCACCTGCATTTAATCACTTAAATTTTCTAGTTCGATTTGGGGTAACGCTTTTAGTAGACGTGTAAAAACTCGTTGTGTTTCATCTTTGACAGTTTTGAAATTTATTCAGAGGCTAGATCTTCTTGAAGTTGGTTTATGTGGTCAGTATCGCCGTAGAATATAGCTGAGGGTATAAAATGTAAAAATTGATATTGTAACTAAAAAGCCTCGTTAGTTTGAAATGTTTAGCAGCAGCATTATATAAAGGGTTCATGATTTTCCAGTCACAAAAAGTCCGTGCAAATGAACTTCCGCTCTCACTTCCGGAAATAAAAATTGGTCACGCAACCGTAACCAGTTGCTATATTACATGTTCTGCGAATCTAACTTGCTGAGAACGCCCAGCTCAGTTTTGTCGCAAGGAAAATGTAAGTTGTTATTATACTATGAAAATGTGGAAGTCTTCATATGCTGGTAAAGAAGGTCAAAAGACCTTTTAATTTCATGATCAAAAGATTTGAATCTTGTGCGAAATTGTCACAGATTATATTTGGTTTGCTTATTAGTTCGAAACTGATTTTGGAGGAAAGGCAAAGAGATAATTGGTTGGGAAAACTTCCCAACAAAACATCTCGCGTCTAGTCTTCACGCTGGAGTGTAAACAAACATGACGGCTGCGTTATCTTGACAAATTATCTTGTAGTTTGATTGAATTTTGTATCAAACGAAGGGACAGCAGAATCCCGCTTTTGATTGAATGCTATCTTTGGAAAACTTGTATTTCTGTGTGGTTATTACATAAATTGGAAGGTCGGTTAAAACAGGGCATTGTATCCAAGTTTAAAGTTGAATTTCTTCGCGCTAAATCATTTCCCCAAAAAATCCTTTGCCTATTTAATAGAACGATTATTCGGCTTTCGAAATCCAGATTTTTCGACGTATTTCATTTAGTACCACATACTTAGATTAAAGGTTATTTTTTGGCAAGTTTTCATCTTGATAAAAGAGGGGTCGCGAAATGTAATTATATTTTCAAAGTAAACATAAAAGAATTGCTAAATTTGCTTTTAACACATATTTTGGCATCATTCTACAAGATTTAGTAGATTTTATTTCTGTAGAATGTGTTATTTCGTTACGCGAAGCATTCTTTTTCGACGGAAATTGTAAGCCCAAAACGTGGCAAATTCTCAGCATTCGGTTATTATTGATTTTCTCGAAAACTAATCGATATTTAGCCAAACGAACTATGCAGCGATTTGTTTTACATTAAGGTCTACCTAACCTGAGAATATGGGCCAAATTGAATTTTCAGCTGTTGCCACGAAATGTTTGACCGATGATAACATTTGCTCTTAAGCGCAATTCAAAGGGACAAATCCCGATCTCGAAAAGGCTGAGATCACTGATTAATTAATATGCATTTTGTCAATGTGGGTCAAAACCTGGCCAAAAGAATTGAAAATTGTCAGGGAAGTCCGACCCAATTCTTAAGATCGACTCCAGTAGCTAGCTTTGTTATATCCTGTGTTGCTGAAATCCAGGTATGTTCACTATTTAAATGTTTAAATGATCATAAGTCATCCTTAGATATTCCTAAGAAATTAATCAAAATAGTTGCCCAGCCATTGTCAATACCTTTAACATATATACATAACCAGAACAAGCTATTCTTGAAATTACTGACAATCTGAAACTAGCTACTGGTAAAGGTTAAGTAACATGTGGTTTATTTCTTGACCTATCAAAGGCTTTTGACACGGTAAATCATAAAATAATACTCTCTAAACTCTATCTATATGGAATTCGGGGTACACCACATCATTGGTTTGAAAGTTATTTGCACAACCGAAGACAATGTGTTAAAATTGACTCTACTAAATCTAGCTATGAAAATATTTCCTGCGGTATACCCTAAGGCTCGACTCTAGGTCCTCTTTTATTTTTGCTTTATGTGAGCGACTTACCAACTGTGTAGACAAACGTTCGGTGCAGAGCTTTGACGATGATACCAATTTATTTTTCTCTAGCGACAACTTAAAACGACTTGAATCCGTTATCTCAAAAGTAGGTTGAGTTTGATCGTCCGGGTGAACGTAGTCCTGAATAGGACTGTTGTTGACAGTGACTGACGTCTCGACAACTTGTGCGGTAGTCGTCTTCAGAGTCAAAGTGAGTTGTATCACCTCAGTTGATGGTATTATACTCTGCTTATTGATCTGATTGGTCAATTACGTCGCGATGTTATTGGTCGTCTGTTAGTTAAGCCGTGATGTTATTGGCTATGAAGACTCGTAATCAGTAATTGGTGCGTTTCGATCCGTCTATTGTCACAGTTAAACAGTCGTCTATTGTTAGTCAAATTGTCAGTCCTCCAGTCGTTCTCTCGTAGTTAGTTTTGCTTGATCTCGTCAATAAGTCGTTTGCACGGCGCTGGTAACTGTTGGCTACGATTCAGTGGCGTCTGCTCTAAGACGTTGATAGTAGTCTGTAGAATACGTTATACATGTCGCAGAGTCCCAGTCAATTTGATGTTTCGTCTTTAAATGGTGCTCAGCAATGTGATTGTTGACGTCACCATTCCTCGTCGCCGAACACAAACGAGAGACGAGGAAAGGTGACGTCAACAATCACATTGCTGAGTCACTCAGTCACTGTCAACAACAGTTAAGAATAAAATGGAAGTCTTATCTTCTAATCAATCAAATGTGATCGTAACCTTGCTTATATGTTCTATCACTGATACTATTTGAGATTTTATTTCCTCTCTTTGCTGCTGCCAATTATCTGAACATGGCGGTGCCCAACAAGAACAGCTCTCGCTACTTTGGACACCGTACACAAATGAACTTAATGTCTTTTAGTTTAATGATTATTTAACACCTACTTGGTTTTCGTTTACGTGTAAATGCCTCATATAGTGTAAAATAAAGAGCTGAATTGAACTGAAACATCTGAGATGGGTAACTTAGCTGTTTTCGACAAGGGAAAAGTTAATGACTCCAGCTGTTTGATAGGAAGTTGATTGTCGAGTCCTGAGTTAATCCATTCACCCCTGAACCACCTATAACAGCCTCTGGTAGATCCACATCCTTTGTATCGTTTGTGGCAACTTTGTCATCTAACTCGTGCAGGGAGAAGAGATCTTTCAAACCATACCAAAATGAGCACGATTCGATCAAGGAAGCCGGAGATGTACAGTACAAATTGTAAAGTTGACCCCCCTGAAATTTCTTCCGTCTAATCCTAACAATTATTCCAAAAGCTTCCCCAAAAATCCCTTCCTCACCCACCCAGAATGAAGCCTATTATGGGGAAAGAAAAGCGAAAGAAGAGGGAAGGAGGAAAAGCAAGAAAAATGTGAAAAATGAGACTGCTGTGTCACTTGTAAGCTGATATTTTACATCTGGAACAGCAGGCCATGAAGGATAAGACCTTTAAATGGCTTTTTGCTGAGTTTCTTTAGAGCCATGCAGTGACCAGGAAATGGCTTGACCAACTTCAAAATGTGTCTATAGGAAAAATCTCCCGGGGCTCATTGGTCAAACGAATCAATTTGTTTTTACATGTCCATACTATTTAGCTAGGGAGATCATTGTTTGCATCTGAGAGCTTTACACCCCACAAAAATAGAAATAAAAATTAATAACTAAAACATTGTGTATGTTATGTTCGATTTCCTTCTATGACTCACATGCTATAATATGAACAAAAAAGCACATACATGATTGTAGGGTGTTCAGTTAAACATACCGATAACCAAATTTGTCTATGGCCACTGACAGATGTCTAGGTGAGGAGGGACAGTTGTATTCATTGCGATCATCTTCTGGTATCAAGTCTACGTCGTGGAAAATGAAGCAATCATACTGGTCAAATTTCAGTGATTCCTTGTAACCGATATTAAACAACATGGCACGGTTGAATGGAGTTTCTCCAGCCTGTTTATGGAAATACAAGCATAATAATATTTGATCAGTTCCATCTCTTTATTGAGGAGAGAGGGTTACAGAGGGTAGACAAAAGCATTAAATTTCATAAGCGGTTCATGTGGCTAAGGATTTTTATTCTGCTGACAAATAATTTTGATCACAGTCAGCTCCCTCTTAACGGATACCCAATAAAGCGGAATAAATGGACACCAAGAGTTGGTCCTTGCCTTTCTTCCCACTTTTTAGTTGACTCATTATAGGACAGACATCTCTCTGAGACAGAAAAATAGTTTTGGTCCCACAGGTGTCTGTTTTAGAGAGAACTAACAGTATTACATTGTATGTAACCAAAATTCTGAATTGGCTATCTGCAGTATCAGCTGTACTACTTGCATTCCAATTTACATGATTTTTGGCTGAGTTCGGGAATGTTTTGATGAAATTATCCACATTGCTTCACAGTGTCATTGCTTGGGTCTTATTTCCAACAACACCGTCACTAGCACTGGCAGCGATTTGCTAATTGGTTTTGAAAGTACCAAGAGGGCAGCTGTCGGTGTTCATAATGGTAGGGGAAGGAGGCAAGAAAAATACAGGGTCTTGCCTTCTCCCAATCTGTGCTCTGCTCCTTAAGTAGATGAGCTAGTCATCTTCAAGCTAGACTCAGTCAAGACGGTCACCCGTAGTGCTGATTTTCGACGATCTTATGGTAGAATACGGTGGCCAAATTACCTTTGATATAGTTGAGATCCTAGTGCATGTGTTTCTATACTACTGCAACCCTCCAAGTTGCGACCATTTTGGTGACCATGGCGCCTAATTTTGGAGCTGGCGACTTGATTTATAAAAAAGTCTCCTTAAACCAAAAGAATTGGTTGCCGATTGGCGACCGAAGCAACTTTAACTTGGAGGGCTGTACTGCTATGTTGAAAAACATACCTGCTCTATCACAAAAATCCTGTAGTCTAAATTTTGCCTTTCAAGCATAGGGTGCATGTGACGAACAAACATTAAGAGCTGCTCATAGCGATTACGGTAGGGAATTATAAGCGCCATCTGGAGAGAGATTACATTACAGTTTTAACATCATGTTCTTGATTTAATTTCAGGCTGGCAGATAGCCTACAGTGCATAACTGATTTAATGAATATCAAGTGTGTTATCTACTGGATAGTGATTAATCGATGCTTTCACCATAAAATAGAAGGATCTCCAAAAAATATTGTTTACTGACTTTTATACCTGTTCAGATTCTTCTTACACAACCCTGGAGTTTCAATAAAGCACCAACGACCAACAAAAGACATTGGCTACTTTACTCTCTCAGTCAGCCACTTTTTAACAAAAGATGAAACCATAGTCAAAAATTATTTCATAAAATCTGACTGACAAAATATTTTAAGGGAAAGCATGCCCAGAAGCTCTTGATAAAATCCCTGACAATTCTATTTTAAAAAAAACTCTATTGAAGGGAAGCAGTGTAAATGTTTTGATACTGAGTATTTAAAAGTTGCTAATTCAAACACCTCACCTTGACCCTTGCCTGGCATTCAGTTGGCTTCCAGTATCCACCTTTATTGACCCGGCCATCAAACTCACTAGACATTTCTTTCTCAAGATCTTTTTCTTTAGGCACTGTTTGGTCAACATACAGTGGTCCCACTAAAGAGATGAAATCAACAAAGTACATTTTCAGAGTTAAGTACCATGTAGTTGATGTTAGTTTTTTTCATGATTACTATTATTTTATTTATTTATTTTTGCAATTTGGGGACTTTAATAACTCATGCAATAAGAAAAAAATTTAAAAAATTATCTACAATAATCATTTATTACAAAGAAACTAATTAAGACTTGGATGAGTTGTTAGCTCCACCTTCGTAAAAAAAATCATAATAAAAATAGATTACCATGGAACCCCGATAAAACGAACCTCGATATAACGAATGATTTCTTTTCCCCAATAGTAAATTATATCAAAAAGAACCTCGATACGAAACCTCGTTAAAGCGAACAAACTTTGTCAGTCCCATGGCCCTTCGTTAAATCGAGGTTCCACTGTATCACTAAGCTTGCAGTAACAGTAACTTTAATATTTGCCTGCAAAAGGCCTATTGGCTGTAAAATAAAGGATTATTTTGTTTCATTGGCAAAATATTATATTTGCCTGCAGACACATGTAACTTCCTGCAGACACATGTGACTTCCCTAAACACAAAACGTGTATGTGAAATTTCCTCTTTTCGGACTGGTAAACTTGGAAACTTTATAAAGTACCTGGGTTTATATTTTGAAGTAACTGCAGAACACCCTGTTCTCTTCAAATTTTATGTACATTTGTGCCCTTTCATTGAGCTGATTATTTAATACAGGTCCATTTCAATTAAACCTACATGCCACTAAATAAGCTTAAATATTTTTTCCTTTAACTTAGCGAATGTTAAACCCTTGGGGAAACAGTGCAGTTTACAAAATTATTTATATTTAGCATGTCTCACGGAATGTTGGTCGGGCAGGATCAAAATTAGGTCGCTTCAATGGCAAGATTAAACATTTGGTCGGGTCGTACTAACACTTGCAAACGACTATGAGATCTTTTTGGATCTTTTGATCAAAAGTTTTCTAGTAGTCACACAATTTACGCTTTGGCTTTTGTTTAGAATTTTCCGAAGGAAAAATAGCAGGTGGGACTGACGCAATTCCATGCGAATTACCCTGGTTTTAAAATATCAATACTAGTTAGTCAAAAAAATTATGAAGACAAAAGGCAGGTTCATATAAAATATTGGTGTCATCTTTATAGATTTCCAAAAAGCTTTTCACTGTGTTTCCCATCAACTTCTGCCTCTTAAGCTTCAAGCTTCTGGCTCTACAGCGATGTATTCAACTGGATGTTAGATTACCTCAGCAACAGAAAACAATATGTGTCAATCAATGGCTTCAACTCAACAACCATGAAGATTTTTTCAGGCGTACCGCAGGGATCCTTACTAGGACCCAGACTTTTTAGTATCTTCACAAACGAACTCCCAAACTGCTTAGACTTATCCAACCCGGAAATTTTTGCTGACCATTCCACCACCTATGTAACTGGTGACTCAGCTGACTCTAATTCTACTCATATTCAAAACGTTTTGCAACGATTACAAAACTGGGCACGTTGCAACTGCATTTCCAGTCATCATGTCAAAACTGAAATTATGTTTGAATCTAAGATGCCCTTCATTGGACCAATTCTGCCTATCACCTTGGAAAATAATTTGTTTAAGCGTGTATCTCACTTATTAAGTCTGGGAGTCACTTTAGACAATAAACTTTGCTGGATACCCCACATGAAATCCATTACTGCAAATTTTAATGCTAACTTAAACAAACTTAAACCGGTGAATTAAATCTTTTTACCCCATTACCTATAGAAACTACTTGTTCTAAAGGCATATTACCTAGTGTACCTTATTGTATTTCTCTATGGGGTTGGTCATTACAGGATCCCCAAGACTCACACATCCGTGCTGCTCGTCTTATTCATAATATAAGTCCCTCCATTGCTAAGCCTGAAGTTCTATCTAAAGCTAAATGGTATTCCTTGCCATATCTTCACAAGAAAAGTCTGGTGTGCATCGCATATCAAGCTTACTATTACTTAGCTTCACTAAGCATGTGACTAAATACAATTTAAGGGACAACCTCACATTTGACTTAACCCATTCTTAATGGAAAGGATTCAATGATTCTTTCAATCATAGAGCCAGCATAACATAGAATGCTCTACCTGTAAAGATGAAGTCATCACCTTCCCTTTGCATCTTTCAAAGCAAATACTGCAAAACGCTCGAAATCTAATGGAATGGAATATCTTTCAGGACCACTTCCACTGTTACATACAAGAACAATGATGACTTTATTTACTTTTAGATTACCTTTTTTGCAAATTATTTCATTTATTTACGCATGTCGCTGAACTTCTTATTTCTTCTAGTTTATATAGTATGTATTGTAATATTTTGACATTTCTTTTGCATAGTTAGTATATTTGGTAATTTTAGATTATTACATAATTATGTAATTATTTGATATAGTTTAGCAGGTCTACGACAGCTTATGCTGCCATCTCTTAACCTGTTTTACCACATAAAGCATGCATGTATGAATATATACAAACCTTGCCTCGACCCGCTGGGACATAGTTCTTTTGCTTGATGACTTTCACTTGACGTTGTTGATGATGGCTTAGTTTCCTCTTGAACATTTCGTTTTGTTATTACTTGCTGTTTTGACTCCTTGATAAGTTTATCCCTGTCTGTAGTCCAATTCCGATTCGCCTCAGGCGCGAAAGATGACTTTGAGGGCGAGCTCTCAGGAGTGTACATGTAAGGATCAATGGAAGAATTTAGTTCGTCCCGTTGGGATGTATTGTTCACATTCATCCAGCCGCGTTCTTTTGTCCTAGAACCTACGTAGTAGCTGTTACTCTGGTACACTTCTGTGTCGCTTCTTGTAGACGCCGCGGAGTAATAAAGCATGAAAAGCACCGATAGTGTACCGACGAACACGGTACACATCAAGAATATTTGTAACCTCGTAACCCCCATTCTTTGAACCGAAAATCCGCTTTCGCTACCCCAGGATTAATGCAATAAGCCACCTGTCGTTAAAAAAAAAAGATATTCAGTTTGGGGTGGAAGCAGGGGTGAAAAATTGCTTGTCCCTTGAAGGGTAAATCGCCATGTCGACAAACCTTTCCAAGTTAATGCTACTTTTTTTATATAAAGTTTTAAATCGTTATTTTAATGTAGATTTTAGAAGTTTTCTAATTTTATTATCCAGACGATCTTTATGACTTTCGGAGTTTTGACTGCTTGAAACTAAGGAAAAGCTTTGCAAGGACTAACAGTTTTAAAAACTCATATTTTAACGTACAGAATTGTGAATAGCTAGAACTGTCTACTGCGTAAAGTTTGCTTTATTCATGATTTACACTCATTTAGGCGTGGTGTTGCGGGAGTATTTGGGTCGGCTTGGTGATCTATAGTCTGTCGATGGAACTGCCGGGTCTAGTTAATTTTTCACGCTGCGCTTGAATGTTTTCCATTTTAATTGTATATAGGACATAATACTAGAAATACGTGTATTGCAGAACCTCGCGAACCTCGGGAGGGGGGGGGGGCTCATAAAATGTCGGGGTGGAAGAGGGGAGGGAATCGGGTTTCAACATCAGCTCTAATATTGGAGTGTGAGATGTAGTCAATCCTATTTGACCCTTCTACATGCGTAATTATAGTCAAAAGGAATTGGGAGTGAAATTGGAAAACTGCAGGCAAATATGCAGCTAACCGATGCCATCTTAAATAATAAGTGTCATAACAATTACTTCTGAAGTGTGTAATTAGTAGTGAGTGAATGAAATGGTAGGAGATAATGCTGCTGTGAAAATAACAAGTAAATGCTCATTGCATGGTATTACCATGTGTTGCCATGTATAGCCATGTAATGCCATGTATAGCCATGTATTACCATGTATTACCATGTATTACTATGTATTGCCATGTATAACTATGTATTGCCATGTATTACCATGTACTGCCATGTATAGCCATGTATTGCCATGTATTACTATGTATTACCTTGTATTGCCGTATTTCGCCATGTTATGTCATGTATACCCATGTATTACCATGTACTGCCATGTATTACCATGTATTGTCATGTATTGCCATGCAGAGCCATGTATTTCCATGTAAGACAAGTTAATACTTGGTAATACATGGCCATACATGACTATACTGGTAATACATAGTAATACATGGCTATACATGGCAATACATGGCTATACATGGCTATGCATGGCAGTACATGGTAATACGTGGCTATACATTGTACTACATAGTAATACGTGGCAATACGTGGCTATACATGGCAGTAAAAGGGTAATGCATGGCTATACATGGCAGTACATTGTAATACATGGTAATACAGGGTAATACATAATAATGCATGGCAATACATAGCTATACATGGTATTGCATGGCTATAATTGCCTCTTATTAAGCGAGCGGGAGGTCTGTATGGGAGAATCTTGACCAAGGTCGCCAGTACTGAGGTCAAGATTCTCCCATACAGACCAACCTAGCTCGGTTAATAAAATGTTTATTATATGGCCTAACAAGAAAGCAAAGGAACAAAAATATCAATTTCGACTTCATCTTGGCTCGTAGCTTCCTCGGCTAGACTCAAATTTGCCAACGTTTGCTCGTTTTCTTTACCTGCTTCCTCGTGAAGGTCCACTGGTTCTTCAATTTAGTATTATTACCTGGAACAAGCCAATTTTTCATACTCTTTGTTTGTAATTTTTTTAGGACAACTGTTACAACAAGATCGGTCTAGATGCCGGTCTGGAGAGGAAAATGTAGCCCGCGGTCAAGATCGATTTTAGGCAATCAAATTCTTGAATTTGTTTGTTTCCAGTGCTTTTGAGACATGGCCATATAATAATTGGCAATACATGGGTATACATGGTAATACGTAGTAATACATGACATTACATGGCTATACATGGCAGTACATGGCAATACATGGCTAGACATAGTATTACATGGTTATACATGGCAATACATGGTAATACATGGCAATACATGGCAATACATGGTAATACATAGCTATACATGGTAATACATAGTAATACATGGCAAT